TGATTTAAATTTGTTCTTTTTTATCTATAATTTAATTAATTATGTATTTAAGAGAAATTTTGATGTTTTTATAATTTTCTTAAATTTTAATTTATATTTTAACTAATTTTTTTAATTAAAAACATGAATTAAAGTTTAATTTAAGGATAAATTTAAATTAAAATCTCTTATACATATGGTGTTACAAATTCTCCCTATATCCCCAAAAGAATTTAGCCCCCCAAATTACATATTTTGAAACAAATGAGGGTACATTTCTTGTATAGAATTTTCATGCTCCCAAATGTCTTCATTTTAGGAGTGATGTTACCAAAGTACCTTTACTATGGGAATGGTCTTATTCATGAGTACCCGGTCTTGCTTGTCAAGAATAGCCACTGGGTATCCCCTCATAAGTTAAGTTCTCTTCAATGGAAAATATTTCATAATGTAGTACGTGAGATGGGTCTAGATAATGTTTACGCAGAATTGATACATAAAATACATTATAGACTTTGCTAGCTCTGGTGGAAATGTTATATGATACGCAGAAATACCCATCTTAGGCAAGATCTCACACAGTCTAATGAAGCGAGGACTCCATTTCTTTCTTTCCAAATCTCATGATGAAATTTTAGATCTCTCATTCGGTTATTTGCATAACTTTTTATTAGCACTGAGTAGTCTAAAGATTTCTTTTTACTAGGGTAGCCTTGGAATTGGTTTCTTCAACTAATTATGGTCCATATAGTTTTTAATCCTCAACCTCTTTCCAAAAACTGGAGATATGCAATGTCTGCCATATATAGCTTCATATGGAGTCATGCCAATACTACACTGATAGCTATTATTGTAAATAAATTCAATAAAAGGAATATAATCATCCCAATTTTCTGCCAAATCTAGAACACAATCTCAAAACCTATCATCCAAAGTTTGAATAATTTTTTTTATTGTCCATCTGTCTGAGGGTGAAAGACTGTATTGAAATGATAGTGTAGTGCCAAGACCCTGTTAAAAACTTGTCCAAAATATGAAAGTAAACCAAGAATCTCTATCGAAAATCATTGAAACAGGAATTATATGAAGTCTAATTATCTCTTTAATATACAACTTGGTAAGCTTCTCAAGGGAATCTCTGGTCTTCATAGGTTGAAAATAAGCTGACTTGGCCAATTTGTCCACAATGACTCATACTGCATCATGACTTGATCTGGTTTTAGGAAGCCTTATTACAAAGTCCATAATGATATGCTACTATTTTCATTCTGGAATAGGAATAAACTAGAGTAAACCAACAGGTTTCTGGTTTTTAGTCTTAACTCTCTAATAGGTGAGGCATTTATTGAAGAAATCAAAGATATCTTTTTTCATAACTACCCACCAATACTGAGATCTTAAATTCTAATACATCTTTGTCCTATTTGGGTATATTGACATTATGGAACTATAAGCTTCCTCTAAGATTTACTTCTTCAGATCTTGACCATTAGGAATACATAATCTATTCTTGAATATGAAGATCTAATCATCATGAACCCTGAAATCAGTCTTCAAATTCTGTTATGTTTCTTTTTTTAAAGCTTATACAGAGGTGTCAGCCATCTGAGCATCATTGATTTCTGAATCAATATTGGTTGTATTCTCAAGTTGACATATAATAATGCAATGTATCTTTCACTAAATCTAAATATTTTATGCATTCCATAGAACCATAGCTCTGACATCA